TTCTGTTTTGGTTTGGATCTTGCTGGGAACAGCCTGCTGAGACAAAGGTGTTCTTGTTAACTTAGATTTGGCAGCTTCAGTTATTGGTGTCTTGTAACAACCTTGTTGAGGATGGATGGAGCACGGTGCCACTGCAGCACCTTTCTTCTCAGTCTCGCCTCGCCCCACGCGAGAGAACAACGTGGAACAGCAGACTGTGCTGTTGGTGCGCATGAGAAACGGCAGAAAGGTCGCAGTTAAACAACGTCTGCTGATTGGAAGAAGCGGATTGTAAAGGCCAATAATGATCGCCTCGAAGTAGGTCATCGTCTGAGTGTGTCTCCTACACAAAAAAAGGTGTGAGTCTTTATGTGTGAGAGAAAATAGACATGTTGATGCAACCGTGAGAAGGTGAGAGTTGGACAGAGTGTGAATGAGTGTCCGGGGGACACTGTCGTCTCCTATTAGAGAGCCCTTTTTGTGGTAAAAACACAGAATTGAGAATGAACGTTGGTGGCAGAGGGAGGCTTTTTTTGGACTCACCTTGTGTCTCAGGTGGGATGTGAGAATGAGATAAAGGCTCGCAGCGGGCCGCTGACAAGCAGATGGAAAATAAATCGGCGGTAAAGCAAGAAAATGAGCGACTGAAGGAGGGAAAACAATTTGGTTGCTGCGGCAGACGTCTGGCTGGAAAATCCCTCTTGTCCTTTAGTAAAGAAACATTTTGTCGGCTGTCAGTCTTACAGTTGCATTACAGATCTCTTGATGTGTGTTTTTAACCAAAGTGGGAGCAGGAGATGAAGTTTTACGTGAAGAGAATACAGAATGACTGTTTTTCTTGTAAAAAGTACTGCCAAGGTACACAACTTGTCAGTTTGTGGTACGTTAAACCCAGAATGCAAACTGATGACTGAGGACCTTAAAAAGTAAACCAGTTTATTATAAAAACAAAGAAACATGCTGACGAGACGACCAAGAGCTTTAATGATCAACTTGAGGATGCTCAGGTGAAAACACAAAGACAGGAGGAGGAACAGACCTGCACAAAAGAATATAATGTCAATGTCAATTTGAAAGATCAAACATTAAAAACACAATATAATAAAATAGGCTAACAAACTAAAGCAAGAAAAGAACCTCAGCGGTATAGATGGAACTCAAACCAAACGTATATAAACCAGAGCGAAACAAGTTTTTATACGGGATTTAAAGGACTGTATGGACTCTGCATAACAAATGTCAATGGGCAGATAGTTCCTGAGTCTGGGGGCTGCCACAGCAAAAGCCCGATCCTCTCTGCGTTTTAATTTTGCCCTTGGCTGTGCTAAAAGCATCCGACTGGAGGGTCTCTGTTTGGATTTAAAAATAGCAAAAAATCCATTAACTGGGTGCCGAGCCATTTAAAACTTTGAGTCAGTAAAATAATTTAAAAATCTATAAGAAAAGGAACAGGTAGCCAGTGTAAATCAGCTAAAACAGGACTGATGTGGTCCTGCCTTCCTGTTAAGACGTTCAGCAGCGTTCTGGACTAACTGCAGGCGATGGAGAGATGATTGTTCCAAACCAACATATAAAGACTTGTAGTAGTCCAGTCTGGTGGGGATGAAAGTGTGGATGAGAGTTTGGAGGTCTTTAAGAGGAAGGTAAGATCTTGCTTTGGCTATTTGACATAACTGATAAAAACTGGTTTTGACATCTGAGAATATTTGCTTATCAAGTTGAAAAGAACTGTCGAAAATCACCCCAAGTTTCTTGACCACAGAGGAGCAATGAGGAGCAAGAGGACCCAGAATTTCAGCACACCCAAAGACAGGAGTCTGGTCTTCAAATACAAGAACTTAAGTCTTATTTTCATTCAGTTCAGATTTAACCAGTCTTTGATATCTTTGATAAACCAGTTATCATAAATCCAATTATGTATGCGTCCTTAAAATCCGCGAATGACAGCAGAGATAGACACGTCATCAAATCTTCCAAGTCGATGAGATATCCAGCTGCGTCCGTGTCAACAGGGCTAATCGGCTCACCTAAAGCCCGTCTTCTCTTTGAAGAAATGTTATCAGTTGTGTTGAGGGACCAACTGATCAAATCCATAGCAGAATTAAGATTCAGACGATTTGTAGAAGAGAGGCTCTAAAGCAGATTCACACACAGGACAGAGCAAAGCGGAGAGGGAGAGGAGGAGAATGCTTACGCCCTTGACAAGAGCAAGTGTTGACTGCTTTAATTACTTCATCAAGTTCTGAAAAAGCCTGTTAATCCATTCATTCAAATCAGGTGTGTCAAAGCAGGGAAACAACTAAAATGTACAGGATGGTGTTCCTCAAGGACCACAGTTGGGAACCACTGATTTACACATTTCTTCAATCCAGAAAGGCTCCGTTCAAGCCAAGCATCAGTAGAACTGAACTCTGACACACTTTAGATTTTACGACTGTTTTTTAATTAAGATAATATAAATATAGTCATAGAATCCCAGCAGTTTAACTTAAAACTAACTACTAGATTATTTAAGCATATTTTAAAAGTAATGTGAAAATTGGAATGATTTTCACTTCAACACACATTTTTGCCATTGGTACTTTGTTGTACATTTTAACAATTCAGTCAGTTTTGTGTTCCATTTTTTGCAGAACGTTGGCATAAGAATTACAAACCATAACGTATGACAGTGATTTATAAAAATATTTTGTGCTACTGTGGCTAAAGTTGCTGCAATGATGGATAATGTTACCACGGCTAACAAACGCATAAATACTGTTTTTATTAACCTTACCTTGCGCTATATCTTGTAATATAACTTCTATAAATAAAGGTTGAATGAATGAAATTGCGTGAAGTTTCCAGACAGGTCTCCCGAGGGAGAATAGACCCAGAAGTAATGATCCACAGCATCGAGTCAAAACGGAAGATGTCTGACGTCATTGTGAAAAGGGCCTATTAAGACCTTTTTTTTTTTTTTTTACCAAATCTAGAGTTTCATAGGGCTCCAGTACAACTCTTCCACCCTTGCAGTGCAAGTAGGAAGATAGACAGGCCGCAGAATGAGAATGGTTCAAAATATCACCACATATCTGCTGAGATGTTTGATGTTCTTTAATGAAACATCTCGCTCCCATCAGAGCGCCCCATTAAATCCCACTCATCCAGGGAGGAGCGAAGAAGTGAGGCAGAGAAACGCAGAGCAGCACTGACCTTTGAAAACGAGTGTGTGTGTTTGTGTGTGAGTGAGTGAGGAGAAAACATTGAGAAAACTAGAGTACAGCATACACCACATTATACACCCTTCGACAAACCATTATACTGCATTAGCTGTAGTGCAATCTATAGCAATGGTGTAGACAAGCTTGTATAACCTTTGACCTTGATCTGTGACCTTGACCTTAGAGCTCAACAGAGGGATTGGTGCGGCGCATGCAGTATTGTGGATTCTGTGCTGATAGTTGTGGTGAAGAGGGAGCTGAGCTGCTAGACAAAGCTCTCTGTTTACCAGTCGGTCTACGTTCACACCCTCACCTACGGTCATGAACTCTGGGTAGTGACCGAAAGAACAAGATCACGAATACAGGCGGTTGAAAGGAGCTTTCTCTGCAGGGTAGCTGGACTCTCCCTTAGTGATAGAGTGAGGAGTTCAGTTATCCAGAAGACTCTCGGAGTAGAACTGCTGCTCCTCCACATCGAGAGGAGCCAGTTGAGGTGGTTCATGCATCTGGGAAGGATGCCCCCTGGACGCCTCCCTGGGAGGTTTTATGGTCGTGTCTAACTGGGAGAAGACCCAGGACACATTGGGGAGATTTTGTCTCTTAGCTGGCCTGGGAACGCCTTGGAGGCTTCCTAAAAGAGCTGGAAGAGGTGGCTGTGGAAAGAGATGTCTGGGCCTTCCTGCTCAGGCTGCAGCCCTCGAGACCTGACTCTGGAACAAGAGGAAGATAGATGGATGGAAGGTTGGATGGATGGATGGATGGATGGTTGAATGGATGGAAGGCTGGATAGATGGATGATTGGATGGAAGGTTGGATGGATAGATAGATGGTTGGATGGATGGATGGTTGGATGGATATATGCATGGTTGTATGGATGGACGAATGGTTGGTTGGATGGATGGTTGAATGGATTGAAGGCTGGATAGATGGATGATTAGATGGAAGGTTGGATGGATAGATAGATGGTTGGATGGATGGAAGGTTGGATGGATGGTTGGATGATATATGCATGGTTGTATGGATGGACGAATGGTTGGATGGATGGAAGGTTGGATGGCCTGATGGAAGATTGGAAGGTTGGATGGGAGGTTGGATGTATGTATGGAAGGTTGGATGGATGGATGGATGGATGGAAGGTTGGATTGAAGGACTGATAATTGTATGGATGGTTGGATGGATGGAAGGTTGGATTGAAGGACTGATAATTGGATGGATGGTTGGATGGATGGATGGTTGGATGGACCTCAGAGTTGGGGTGATGAAAAGTGTATGTGACATGTTATCTAATTTTTCTTCAAATCGTTTAGATTTTATGTTAATTTAATTATTCCGAGCTCAAAATAAATTTAAATTTTCATCAAATTTTGCTTCAACTTAAATCCTTCAAGTGTTTTCTAGTAATTCAGACATCAAGCTCCAACACTGGAACCAATATTTATCACCTGGGGAGAAAAAGGCTCGTGTCTGTTAAGAAAATATCTTACGAATCACGGAACAGATTTTATTGAAACTTGAAACCTGCACTCGATAACTACAGGAAGAAAACACAACTTTGACACACACAAACAATGCAGTTTATTATGTTTATGATTTAAAATTTAATTCTTCTTTCCATCAAGACCAGCTTGATCTTAAGCGTTAACTGAGGTTAATTTCAGATCAGAGCAGCAGATTGTCTTTAATCACAGGAACGGTCCATACTTCTGTCTGCTCCCGGTTCTGGAGGAGCCACAGGTGCAGCGCAGCGATGCTGAAACTCACCAAATCACTTGACAACCACTTTGCCTTATCAGCAGCAGCCACCAGGGTCCTGTTAGTGTATTAGCAGCTATTTACCTCTTTTTATTAGCGCCTGCGGCTCGTATCAGCTTTCACCTGGGTCAAACCTTTTCATTCCCAAAAAGAAAGATCAGCCCCCGTGTATATGTGTGTTTTCAAAGTTCATTGGTGAACTTTATGGCATTTTTCTGTATCCCTCCCACAAAGCTTCTCCTTTACCATCTCTTCACAGAATGAGTCCTTCTTTAATGTCCTTTATAGCAGCATGGAAAGCTTCTGCAGCGGCTGCGGTAAGAGTTCGGCTCTTTTTGAGATCCTCTCCGTTTCATTTGTCAAAAGAAAAACATAAAAAAAGAAAAGATTTGGGTTTAAATGGGGTCACAGTTGCAAAAACTATTAAATTTAAATGTTCCTATCAGTTCTGCGATTCTACTTTTTAGAGATTATTCAGTCCCAGGTTTTGGGATTCAATGTTTGTTTACGGGGAATCTTCTTTGTTCTATCTTTTTTCTTTCACGTCGCTCTGGCTGCTGCTCCTCACTGCTCCTCGATGCCCCGAGCAAACAGCCGGATCAGCTGGTGCTGGACACTGTGGAGACAAAACACACGGACGCACAACGCATCATTTAGTCTGAATAACAAACCATCAACCTAATGACCACGATCTTTCCAGTAAGACTACGAAGCAGAGATCAAAGCAGCAGGACGGCACCACTATGTTCAGATTTGTAAGAGGATTTCAACAACAAAACCAGTTCCAGAGATCGGCCAGGACCAGTTCTTTTTATTTTGTTTTCCAGAATCATCTCAAAAGTTCTTGATACATATCTTGAAATTTGTCTCATACCCATGTCCTGTTTAGCACATTAGAGCTGTGGTTTTTGTCTATTTGTATACAAACTACCAGCATATTCTGAACAAAACGTAGCTGAATGTTGGTGCAAACGTCTTCAAGAGTTCCGCCTACGGCACCGTATACGCCCATCGACAAGCCTTCGTACAGAAATCGATAGCAATGGCTTGGACGAGCAAATACCTTGATCTTGATTTGTTCAAGACAAGTTTGTCATTCACAACACGTGGTACATGAGGTGGAATGAAATAATGTACTCAGGGTCCCAGTTACATCAAACAATAGCAAAATATAAAATGTAAAAAGAAACGGTATATAAGGATCTAAGATATACGCTAAACACTAATGATGTTAAACAATACGGTGTAACAGCAGCCCAAACATGGGTCTGTGTGAGCAGATGGGTATGAATGAATACAGCAGCATGAGATGATCAGCAGCATGAGATGATCAGCAGCATGAGATCAGCAGCATGTATAGTCAGCAGTACATGCCACCAATCAAGTGACATTACTGCCATTTTTTTTCACTGTGATAATCCTGGATAGAGATTCATGAGTCTAACAGCCTCAGGGTAGAAGCTGTTCCTCAGTCTAGTGGTTCTACACTTAATGCTCCTTAACCTCCTTCCTGAGGGGAGCGGGGCAAAAAGTGTGTGTGCTGGGTGAGTGGGGTCCTTCATGATGCAGGTGGCCCTCTTCCTGCATCTGGAGGTGCTGATGCTTGTGATGATGGGGAGGCTGACTCCACGAGTCTTCTGTGCAGCCTTCACCACTCTCTGCAAAGCTTTTCTTTCTGCAGCTGTGCAGCCTCCATGCCACACGTTGATGCTGGAGCACAGGATGCTCTCCACTGCACACCTGTAGAAGGAGGTGAGGACTGAGCTTCCCAGACCAGCTTGTCTCAGCCACCTGAGGAAGTAGAGTCTCTGATGAGCTTTCTTGATCAGGCTGGTGGTGTTGTTGCCCCAGCTGAGGTTGGCATTCAGGTGCACCTCCAAGTACTTGTAGCTGGAGACCACTTCCACTGCAGATCCTTCTATATTCAGGGGGGAGTAGGTGTGTTTGCTCCGTCTGAAATCCACGACTATCTCCTTCATCTTTTTCACATTGATGTGAAGGTTGTTCTTTCTGCACCAGCTCTCCAGGTGTTCCACCTCTTGCCTGTAGCTGGACTCATCGTTGTTTGTGATGCATCCCACCACCGCTGTATCATCTGCAAACTTTACAATGTGACAGCCTGGATGTGTAGGTGCACGGTCATATATGAGCAGAGTGAACAAGAGGGGGCTCAACACACAGCCCTGAGGCATGTGTAACCTTCACAGTAGAGTTGGGGTGATGACATTATGTATGTGACACTGTCTAGTGATGATCCATGTGTGTGTCAGGTTTTGTTAAATTTCTTTGAGCAGATCAGACGTTATGGGCAGAACAAAAGAAAGTTTGTTTGTACAGATGGAGAATGTACAATAATATGTCCACGTTTCCAGCAGCGTACAATAATAAAAATGTGTGCATTTTCTTTGTCTCCAGGTCCCAACAGTCACATTGCATGAGACACTGCCTTTAATGGGACAGCCTATGTAGAGTTTGAAAGCACAAAGACTTTTAAAGATCTGCCTGTAATAAAAGTTGAAGTTAAAGACCAATAAAAGAAGAAGTTATTAGATAAAATGGCTTCAGTGATGCCATATGTTGTTTAGCTTTAGTAGCACACATTCATACATAAAATCTTTTACACTGCCATAGAGAGGTTAGTACATTTAGGCTCCTTTAACATTATATATATATATATATATATATATATATATATATATATATATATATATATATATATATA